TGAATGAGTAGCAATCAAGGGGGGGGGGTAGAGAAAAAAAGAGTGGTTACTAACATGAATGTAACTAACATTTAGAAGGAAGGTGGTAAGAACGTTGAAGGTTAAGACCATGAAAGGAGCAATGGTTGGACAAGTCTCTTGTGTATGCAAAGCTTCACCTTTTTTATCTGAATTGCTAAAGCTTCAGTAGTACGAAGGAGGTGGATGCGTACTGACTTCGACAAGTTTCTTTTCATTTTGTAAATAATCCTGTAAGAGTTTGTTGTTGAAACCAAATGACCAGTGTCTGTCAGGTGTTCCACTATCGAACTTCTTATCGATGCACTCTTACCTCTTTAAACCATGTAGGATATTGTTCTTGAACCGTTTTTGGATCGGAACTGCGTCAGACCACAAATGTATTCAGCTTTACAGGAGCAGGTGATCAGATATACACAAACAGAGGTGGTCAGATTTGGGATCTTATTTTTCAGACTTCTATTGAGAGAAGGGCGACTAGTGAAAACTGATCTGAGAGTTGCTGCAAAGCGAGTTTTCTTCAGTGGACTTGAAATCTTTCTCTTTAACATGTCACCAACTAGATCACCTTTGAAGTCTACGTTTATACGAAATTAAAACATGTTTTAGCGGTTTCAGTATGATGATTTATTTATGAACCGTACAGGATATCCGTTTTCGATCACACTTTTTCCTACTATGCTCATCTCTTCATTCATCTGTACTGCAAATGAGTTGGATACGAGTAGCAAGGGATATAATTTTACCGACAACGAATGATCACTTAGTTGTAGAAATTTATCAGTTACTCGTTCCATTTGAGCTTTTTGTGAATCAACCTTCTTAAAGTTCCATCAGCCTTTCTCATTAGTTCCATACAAGAATAAAAAATTCTTATTCTTTTTCCACTTCAATGATGAATTCCATAGAATGAAACAGAAAGCACCTAGGAATATGCTTAAATATACATCATATTTAAATAGCGAGTATACTACTTACTTTACCGACGTAGTTATTTTCGCGTAAATCAGTTGTAAAATATGTTATATTTTGATTGTAATCAACTTTACTCATCATAATACATTCCCATTAATAAACTTTCATTTAATCTGTCAATTTCTAGAGTTTAGTCGTACCTGTTGAAAGATTCTTTTGAATTCTATAAAGTGAATAAAATGAACCGTCTGAAACTGTACTGTCATTTCCAAGTAGGTGTATGTAGTAAGATAGAATTTTTGATCGACCTAAGTTCACCTATACTGAGCCATATTCGTTAGTGTTGATGTTGACGTTAAACAATTGACTTGTGCATATAGCCTATATACCCAACTCTATGGGAGAAAGTGAATGTGTGCATACACACACACAATAAACCAACCAGAAATGATCTTGATTGTACTGTGTTGTCTGAGCTGGGTTGTTTAATCGTGAAGCTTTCATCGTCTTCCTAGACGACATCATCAGCACTAACTTCAGTATGAAGTGAGCTGTCAATATCTCTCCGTCAGTGATTTAGTAGCTTGCCCTGACGAAGTGCTCTGTGATTGGTTGTTTCCTTCGATTGTTGTGTCATTGATTGTGTAGACTTTGCCCTCGTCTACATGAGCACATCACGACATTTCATCACTCATTTCAATGCATGTGGATTCTTATGGACATGAATTCGATTTCGACAATGTAGAAATTTTGGACGGAGAGAGGAAACACAAAGAACATCAGAGAATTCCTGGAAGCTTGGCATTCAGGTCGGTCAGTCAGTCAGCAATCAATAGATGTATAGACATAGACCCAATCTATCAACCAATAAGAAAAATGATAAGCGACTGAAAGGTCAGAGGTCAAGCAGAAGGCAGCCAACAGGAAAATTTATACAGTCAATGAGACAACAGTCAGAGGAAACAACCAATCACAGAGCACTTCATCAGGGCAAGCTACTAAATCACTGACGGAGAGATATTGACAGCTCACTTCATACTGAAGTTAGTGCTGATGATGTCGTCTAGGAAGACGATGAAAGCTTCACGATTAAACAACCCAGCTCAGAGAACACAATACAACGAAGACCGTCCACCTGACCTACAAATATTCTACACTTTTTTGAAAACCAGAAATGGCGCTAACAAATTACGTGAATGGAGTTTCCTTTAATCGACTGGTTGAAAAGATTTAAATCCTCCCACTGAATCATAAAACACTGAAAATTTTAGCGAACAAAAATGTTTTCGACGATATCATCCTCTCCAGCTGTACAGTAGCATTTAAGTATAATTAGTGTACATAAAAATGTCAATATTTGTTGACCAATGAGTTTGTGGCCATGGAAACAGTGTAGGAATAGAATGTGCATAGGAGATAAGACCTGGAAAGCTTTAGAATAAAGAAGTGAATAAGGACAGGGGATGATAAAGTCACTTCTGGATACACAATACATTTTTCGCTTGTTGTATTGTCAAAGCTTCAGTGATGCAAAGTCAACGTCTCCTCACATGATTTGACAGATTATGCTGCACTCTGTCGACTAGTGTGACGGAATCTGTATGTATCCATTCTCAATTAGATGTTTTAATATGGAGCTGTTAATTGGTCTGCCTTAACCTTTACTGACCTATGCCGAAAAGTGTTGGCATCGATGGTGGACAATCTGCCTCTGCATATTGCAGGTGAATGTTGTTTTGAAAGCCTTCATTATTCTGCTTTTAAGTCCCTCCGATGTTGGCTTTATTTTATCTATGAACTACTCTGCATATCCTTTCGAGATAAACGTCGGTCTTCGATGTTAAATTCAGTCTTCTAAAGAGACTGAAGTACTAATCTCTCAGATTAGAGATGGAAGGGATAAGAAATTTTTTCAGCCTGTCGTTATCCACCAATGAAAGTTTGTCGTTTATCTATTCCAAATAGATTTTCGATAAATAGATCTTTTATGCGTTCAGTCATCTCATCTTGGTAACAAAATATTGAGGAATAATATCTTTGAGTATGAAAAATTGAAGTATTTCTCCAAGTCGAAATTCTTCTAACAAACAATGAATATATCTGGATAATGTAATTAGAAGACGTAGATTATCTGAAAAATGTGATGTATTAGCGCTATACATTTCGAACAATCTGATCACACATTTACTTGTTAAGGCAATTTATATATGAAAACTGGAAGTGGGGGAAGGACACATATGACATAAAGGAATTCAATAATAAGAAAGATAATGAGAGGAATAAAAGATAAGACTTGAAGACAATCTTGGTAATACGATAAAATAAGCATTACCAAGGTAGGCTTAATGTAAGGACAAACTGTTTTTGCACACACAATGGGGGGTTAAATTTATTTATGGCTAGCGCCTCAACAAACTTAAGTATACGCCCCTGACAGTTTCGGTACAAAATTGTAAAGGCTGTCTTGATATCAATTCTGTGACTCTTATCAATGATATGTTTCGCAATGGATGATGATGGTTGTCTGCCATCTGCGCTTATCAATGTTTGTGAATCCAGCTGCTTTCGTAGCCACTTTGGAACATGTTCCCCTACCCTCAAGTGCATATCACGATTCGTCCTCCCTATGTATGTTTGTCCACACACACATGTAAATTTATAAACGCAATGGGATGTGACACAATCGTTTATACAGCGTTGAGGTCTAGGTAGCAGCAGGTGTTTGGTCTTCTCAACTATGATAAGCTTAGCTGCATAGTACGTTTTGCTAACAGCAGACCTTAACCTTCGTTTTAATATTATGCTATTAGCTTCTCCTCTGTATGGTAACGCGATGTAAACGCATTTCTTCGAAACAGAGCACAGATCAGGTTTGAATCCTCGCTGATTTTTGCAGCGGTTTATGAACTTCAATGGATATCCATTTTCCACTAATGTTTCCGTTAGTATTTTGATATCATCATCCATTGAGTCCTCCGTACAAATACGTTCGATCCTTTTAAATAGACAAATTACCAAACCTCGCTTGTATTGGGTTGGACAAAAGCTATGGAAACTTAAATACTGACCTGTCCAAGTAGGTTTCCTGTAGATCGACCGTTTTATTGAACCATCATTTCTACGACTTAGGAGTATATCCAAGAATGGCAGACGGTTTTCTTTTTCTTCTTCACTTGTCAGGCTTATGTTGTTTTGTACGTTGTTAAGTCTTTCTAACAAACATGTTGCATCTTCATGCTTATCACATATGACGATTATATCATCGACATATCTTTTATAGAGAGTAACTTTATTGATGAGATCGCCGGTCAAGCTCTCAATGTGTGACATGTAAATATCAGCTAGCAATGGTCCTAAAGGACTTCCCATAGCCACACCATCTATTTGTCGAAAATGTTCACCTTCAAATGTGAAATGAACTTTATCGGTACACAATAATAACAGCTCTCTCAAACACGTTGAGGGGATAGGGAAAGAAGTAACAAGTAACAAGTAAATGTGTGATCAGATTGTTCGAAATGTATAGCGCTAATACATCACATTTTTCAGATAATCTACGTCTTCTAATTACATTATCCAAATTCATAAAAGGGACTAATTGTTTCAAATGAATATATCATCGATATATCCTCTGCATGGTTTTAATTCCCCTGGATAATTAAATTGAGCATAGTTGTTTCCTATTCGGGCTGAATATATCTGCTAACAGTGAATTCAATTGTGAATTGGTGTAAAAGGTGAATTTTCCTGAAATAAAAATAGACAAAGAATCAAAATTGAACACCGGTTTCATTCATTGCATTAACCTACTTACTTAACGAATTGATTAACTAACTTAACCTAGGGTTTAATCCTAGATGGGGGTCATAAGTGTGTACTGCTGAAGAGTTCCATACAAGGGAGAAGAAACAGCTTTTTTAATGGTGTGTAGTTTTCAATGGATCTCTAAATGATTTCAGTTCGTGATAAATACCAGTAGACTTTCTAATATACTTCGCGGTAATTATGCTCTTTTCTGATAAATTATCGATCCGTAGAAATTTAAACATATTGCTTCCTTTACACACAAACATTCCTATATCACACACACACACAGAATATGGTCAAATTTATAGCGTAAAAGGAAGTGTTTACAATACTAATACTACTACTTCATATTTTAACTATTACTAGTATTACTGAATGAATAAAAAGTTTTTTCTATTAAAAGAATACTAACTGAACGCATTTCTACTATTTTCATCTGTTCTATAATGCAAAAACACTCTAAAAGAAATTCTCAATCACTTTCAGAAAATAATGACAATGAAAGTCAAGAAGACGATAAAGTGGAATCAGTTCATACAGAACCTTTAAATAAACAACCAAAGTTAACTTTATTCAAACAAAATCTGTTTAATGATGCTAAAATCAGTGATATTGAACAACAAAAAGAAACAGAAAAAGAACAGTATATAATCAATAAAAGATCTAAAACAATTCTACATGATCAATCAAACAATAAATCAATAATTGTTGGAAACGATATGTTACATACACTTAAATCTCTCTTAACATGCTCTGTATGCTTAGAAATCAAAGATCAAATAAATCAATGTCCAAATGGACATTTAATCTGTTCACAATGTTCTATTCAATTACAACAACAATCAACTCAAATAAATTTATCTAAATGCCCAAGTTGTCGTATTAATTTACAGTATATGTTATGTAGATGCTTATTAGCTGAACAAATGATCGCTGAATTACCATATCAATGTCCATCTTGTTATGATGTAATACCGCGTAGATTAATAAAACTACATGAATATAAATTATGTCCTAATCGTTATGTATTATGTCGTTATAATCTTGTTGGATGTTTATGGAAAGGTAAATATAATGATTTAAATTCTCATCTATTATATTGTGATTATAAACAAAAAACTGTTGAAGATATTGAAAAATATTTAGTAAAAAAATTAATCAACTATGAATTATATTTAATGAATGAAATACAATTTAGTAAAAGTTTATTAACTAAGTTGAATTATAATCCAATAGGACTAAAATTAATTCAAAAACAAATTATTGTATTTCGTCAAGATTCACTTGATTTAAACAAAAATTCAATTTTATATCAAGCAAAAAATATAACATTTTTATCTAATTTAAAACGTTTATCTATTGAAATTTGTATTAACTATGAATTAAATAACCTAGAGTATTCAATTAAAACGAAATCAAATCATACAATAGATTTTATGATATGTTTAAATTCATTCAAGTGTGAAGATGTATGGTTTAGTTTAAATGATCAATTGCATTCAATACACTTTGATGCATTGAATAAACAGTCATCCAATTATACTGTTGATGTGTTCATGGTTAATGTATATTGTAAATATAATATTAATCAGTATACATATACATTTGATGATTTATTGATAGTTAACCATACAAATCAGTTTACATTCAACTTATCTGATCGAAATAATTGTATTTTATTAAATTTTCTCTTATTCATTAAATGTAAAAATTTATTGGAATTTGATTTAGACGGGAATCAAAATTTATGCCTTGGTGAACCAATAAACGTACAAATGAGATTTGAGCATGGCAATGAAGATGGCCAATCACAATTATACCAGAGTCTGTATTCAGATAATAGTATAATGAATGAAAGTGGAAACAGTAATGTAACTACTACAACTCCACAAGATCAACTAAGATTAGGCAGATTGACAAGATTGTGGGAATTACCAAGTAGTAATTTGTTACATCCAATTCTAGATAGTCTACTTTCAAACAATATATCAACTACAACGACAACAACTACATCTTTGTCAAGCGCAACAAGGTGTACTGATAGAACGAATAGAGGCATTGACTATTGTATCAATCCATTGGTAGTTACAATAACCAGCCTGTCTAGTGGAGATGATGAAGATAGTGAGAATAATCTGCGACAGAATGGTATACCAGCTAGTGATTTTATCACAAGACACTTGGGTTTACAACAAAATAACAGTGATGAAGATGATGAGTCTGGAGAAGATGAAGACAATAGTTCTGATAGTGAACATGAGAGTAATGAAGAACCGGAGGAAACTACCTACTCTGATAATGATGATGAAGTTGTCAATAAAACATTAGAAGAAAATAACAATGCACTGATTGAAATGGATAAAGAAGAGGAAAGTGGTTATCTAGCTATTAAGAATGACCTTGAAACCAATTCTGGCAGTAAATATGACTATACTAATCCAGAATATACAAAAAGAGTGCAAATGAAAAATGGGAATAATAATTTTCATGTCTACAGTAGTAGTAATAATAATAAATCATATGAACATTTAACTATTCCCTCTAAGCGTAAACGTTTAAAAGAAAATTTAATCAACTTTAATGAACACCAATCAGATACCCAAATGACAAGGTCAACTTCATTGAAAAAACGAAATACACAAATGGAAACAATCAAGATTAAACTAAAACAAGAGAATGTAAATATGAATAAGAAATTTTATTTACCGGTTTTATTAAAAAGTTGTATAACTTTCTTCAGTAGTTTTTCACGCTACTTATTGCGTAGTCATATGGTGACAAGTGAGTTAGACACAGAAAAGAACAAGAATAGATTAATAGTGAATAACGCACAAAATAATATAATATTAGGGGACAATAATCTTCAATCTAATGATTTTCATTCGGAAGAAACAAATCATTTCAATCAGTCCGAAAATAAACCTAGTTACTATTACTATTATGAGGATTGTCATCAGAAGAGGAATGATACAGGAGATGACTGTAAGTGGTTTTATAAGACATATGAAGCAAGTAAACTGATGGATAGTTCAAAAGCTGAAGAGTATCAACACCCTGATTGTAATCATTTTTTACCTATCACTAGTATATCTACGATACAAACATCATCTTCAGGTTTAACCATCAATGGAATAAAATCGTCTACGAATATATCTTCAAGTATACCTTCATCGTCAATTGGGAATACAATAATTAATCATAAACTATACGATCTGAATATCTGTAATCCGAATATTAAAATGAGACGAAAGTATACAAGAAAACGTAGAACAACTTCAATAAAGAATAAAACATATAAAACTAGTAGAATTAAAAAAAGTTTAATTCACTAGATTTGATAATATGCTGATTATAGTTTAAATGAAATAGATACTTTCTGTAAATTGAATATTTAAACCATTTGGCGGGAAAAAAAAGTTAATCTATAGTAGTATATGAAACTTCTCAAACTCTTTGCTTTTACTATTTTTAAAGTGAAGGCGATTTCCGATGAAACATTTATGAGTTATACTCATATATTTTTAATGTATAACTTTTAATTTTATGTGATAAAGCATCATTGCAATCCATAGACTACTTTAAGGATTTGAATAAAGTAATGTACAAATGAATACTTCTTATTAATTTTGTTGTATAGGAGAAGTCTATTTTCAATGGAATTATATTTTTTCTGAATGATGTGTGGACAAATGGCAGAATGGATGGCTTATAAATCTTTAAATCATAAAATCCCAACATATGCAGGAGATTATCTTACTTAACTGACAGCCAGCTCTGAATTATTGAATTTTTGAAGACCATTGTGCATACCGAGTCGATTTGTGATGTTGACAGAAGTTGGATCAGGTTGGAAGAGTGTTCAAGGTGACTAGATCAAGACATAACATCAGTTCATGAAGTCCCTAACTTCTGAATTGAGCTGTGTAGGGATGTGTAGACTTCTTGGTCGGAACCAGTGGTTTCAGGTTCAGGGTGATATGGTTGAAATCGGTCACAATGGTGGAGATATATTCACTCTTTGACATCTAAAGCTTGAATATTTTGAATAAACTTACTTCTTAAATTCCTTCTCCTCTCATACGTCCTATCTAATATGATATCGGTCCCTTTTCTATCCACTTGTTCTTTGTATACTACTGTAAAGTATGGTAACTTGAACCAATACATTTGTGTATGAGGTTCTTTTTTGGTTTCGTCTGTCTGTTATATCCAAGCGTTGTATGGGCGGAAATAATTGATGCATGTTGTATTCTATACTTTGACTGACGACATGATGTTGCTAATACACTATAGTAGAAATCACTATAAATGCATGCATTTCCCAGGTCTAATCCCCTTCTCTACCATTATAAAATGATACTTGAAGTGGGCTTAGTCTGGAAAAAGATCAGAAGCAGTCAAACTAAAACTTGGTATCAGTCGATGAAATATCATAGTGTTTTACTGACCAAAGTAAAGAAATGTAGAATTCTCGATTTTGATCTACATGACAACCACCCATTCCTTTTCCTGCAACTTTTGAATGGACCTTCCTCCCCTATTTATCTATTGTTCATTTCACTGTCTTATATGTGAATGTGTCTATGTGAAGTGTGGCAACTTGAACACAGTAGTGCCAAGTCCCAGGTTGATACTGACTGACTGACTAATGCATACAAAAGTTGTGTCTAAGACATCATCGGTGAGAACTACACGTCACTGGTACTGGTCTGGTGCTCTGTTAACTGAGCTACGTGACCCACCTTGTGAGTAGATCTAAATTTCGCTTTCTCATAGGTATCAGATATCGTCCCATCAATAATCAGTTCTATTCTCCTCCTCCGTAATCCAGCTCGATTTGGATGAGAAGACCTGACTGGGCAACTGGTATGATCATGAAGAATGGACAGTAAAGTAGAACTCATTCACATGACAGTTGGGTAAAATCATTGATGGTTGAAGGGGATTCCAGAACTGATCAGTAGCACGACCTTGTAACCCACTTGTTACAGTCCTGAGTTCGTAAGGTCAAGACCATTGGTATGGATCCTTCAAGTATCAATAATGTCGGTCTCTTAAACTATGGTTATTTCAAACACTCAATAATAACTTAATATCAATTAGCAGACAACCTATCAACATTCATAGAACAGTGAGTAAACAACCGACTAATTCTTATCGATAAGATTTGAACAGAATTATTACACTTTATGACAAAAATCTTGCATATAACTTTGCCATTATATAGTAATAATGGATAGTGGCTAACAGTGGAATCCAGGATGCACATTTCATCCTATTTGGGACTCGTCAGCCGGATATATCTGCCTCCCAGTGAGTGATGTTATCCCCACCGGGAATCAAACTTGGGACCGATTACTTCAAACATCAGAGCATTATTCACTAGACCACCGAGCCACGATAGTCACTTCTTGTCCGAAGGGTATCGTTTTGGCGCTACTCCTTGTGTTGTACCATCGTTGATTGGACTAAAATTGAGGGGTCCCGAGTCCGAATCCCAGTGGGAACACCACTCACTGGGAGGTAGGTACATCCAGCTGACGAGTTTTAAATAGGAAGAAACCTCTATCTTGGGTTCCACTGCTGGTCACTATCAATCATTACTATATAATTAAAAACACGGGGAATATCGAGGCATCCGCACAGGAGCCCATATGCCAATACAAACAATAACACTATAACCTTACCACTGTTTGCAGTAGTTTATAGCTGCATTTCTGAATGGTTTATCAGTAGCATTACTACGTAGAATCTCAGTTCAGAGAAGACAAGAATTTGTAGTCGAAGAAAAACTATTGAAATTGATATTTCCTTTATAAACAGTGCTAAATTGTCTTTCTTAGCACCAGATTTAAAAACTAAGTCTGCCAATCAAAGACTAAAACTGACTGATTGTTCATTGACATTTACTCTCTATTTATCTTCCACTGTGTACTGCTAATCATGTTTATTTCACGTGGAACTTGTGCGTGTGTGTTCTACTTCCTAACATTAGTTTAATGAGAATACCTAAAGTATTGACTGCAGGGCGATTTTGCTTCAGTGTCAGTAAATAAATCATGAGATATTGTTTAAATAAAACAAACAAAATAATTAATGATATGCTCAAGGTCAGGTATTACAGCCTGTAATTTCCCGCCGCTGACTGGACCAAATTTATCGACCACTGTTGGTACATGAACCGCTGAATATCGTCGGTATTTTTAGTTTGACATTAAGGATGGAATGTGGCTAACACAGGAGTCTACATGTCAGTAGTACCTGATGAATTAAGTTCAATGAAAGACGGTGAATTCCAAGCTATAATACTTGAAATCGCACAAGGAGTTACTATCATCGCTCAATGGCCTAGGGGATGACACTCTGGCGTTTGAAGCGACTACTTTTGGGTTCAATTCTTGGTGGCAACAAGATCAGGCACTGGAAGGTAGGTACATTCAGCTGACGAGTCGTAGAGAGGAAAAAACATGCATCTTGAATCCCACTGACGGCTACTTTTCATGTTTAATGTCAGTAGGAGTTTGTCCCATGTCAAGATAGTATGAATTTTTGATCATTATAATGGTAATGAAATATGTATGACTTATACATCAGACTGTCATTATTGTAAATATTTTTCTATAACTTGTTTTTATCTGGTCAAATTCTTTTTAGATAGCATTTCTACCATAAAACATGTGCACTAGAAATGTGTACTGAAACGCAGGTCAACAACTCATGACTAAGTTTACATAATCAATTTGTTATTGAATACCATAGAAAAGTAATAAAGTATGCATGGTATCTATAACCCTATTTTACTGTTGCACAATTTTCTGTAAAATATTGCAGTATCGCTAATGAAAGAAGCAAAAGATAGGTATGCATGCCATGCTCAGAATTCGCTTTCCAAACATATACCAGCCCCGTCCCACAAAGGAGAAAGCAGAACACTTCACAGCTCTATTTCAGAACATTTGATCGATTATCACCACCCGGGTAAATGCAGAAAACAACATCAGGGTCATCTATAGAGTTCGTGCAAATCTCGTGAAAGGTGTACGACTAAAACTGCAGAGGGCCATGGCAGTTAATATTTTGAAACTTGAACTCTCTGTTCAAAAGAAATTTGTAAAGTCATTTGAGCTGAAGTGGACACAATCTAAAAGGATATTTTTACCTTCAGAAATCTTTACATGTAGATCTCACACATTATATTCCTCCACTCCTATAATTCTGATTTCTCTTTACATTCATCGTGTTATATCATTTAACTTGGTAACCAAATATTTGTCCCGTCTTGTTAAGTCTTCTTAACAACAATGTTTAAAACATTACGTAATTCTTTATTTTCCGATCTCTTTATTTATAACCAAATCTGAACTTCTTTATTGATATACTTGGACCGAATTGTTCCACCTCTATTGGCATATGGGCTCCTATGCGGATGCCTCGATACTGCCTGAATTTTAAGTATGATAATTTGGTTGGTTGTGGCTAGCAGAAGAATCCAGGACGCACGTCTCGTCCGACTTGGGACTAGCCAGCTGGATGTACCTGCACCCCAGTGAGTGATGTTCTTCCCACTGAGACTCGAACCCCGTACCCATCGGGGAGAAAATCACTTACGGGGGTGCAGGTACATCCAGCTGACGAGTCCCAAATAGGACGAGAAGCCCGTCCCGGATTCTTCTGCTATCCACAACCAAGAAAATCTGAATTTTGTTCAAAATATTTCATGAAACATTCTTTTTCTGTTGCTATGGGGATAGAATATTTATATGCGATTGTACAGCTTCAGAACGATATCGCTGAAAAGAGTGACTCTTCGCCATAAGTCTTTGGTTTTTTAACAACATACAAACAAATTTTTACCGATTAAATGTCGTCATCTTAAAAGGAACTGAAATAACCAACCAGGTTTTTCTATTCTGGCTAGAAAGATGTTATTTTTCATCAAATGAAGAGAGCTGATTTGGTCATTTCGGTAGTTGTCAGAGTCATTTCCATTCTTTAGCCTATCTGTGACAAAATATTATTGTTTAGGAGTTCTTTGGGGTCCACAAGATGTCAGATGTGAATGTATGGAGAAACTTGATATGAGTGGATTTAGCAATCATTGAAATCACCAACTTTCTCGATTTTCCGAATAATATCTCAAAGCAAGCAAAACGAATTGGTTATCTCAGTACCTCATGTAGTAAGCTGTAAGTTAACCCAACAAATATAATTTACAGGGTACCAGTACAACTTCTTTTGAGTTCAAAGACATGCTAACAACGGCTAGAATAAGCTTCATTTATATCATTGGACCAGTACCTGTTATCTTGACGCGATGGACGGGTTCGCATAATACAATGAGCTATATTGGTGTGTCAAGCATGCCCTTGAAGTCCTATCATAGCAGAAAGACAAGTTGGATAGTGATAAGGCGAAAAACAGCCGCCATCATAGTGCACATAGGTTCTAGCACGACGGATGTGACAGTAGTAATATGTTCATGCATCTTCCCCTATGAGACGAGAGGTTATAAAATGTCAGCCTCCAAAACTTCCACACTCCCTGTATTCTTTATCTTCCGGTGTCAGTGGTATGCGATTTCTGGCTGGATTTGGAACGAACTAATAAAAGTATCGACCTTCCGATAAGATAGTGTGTGACCAGCCTCAAACAGGTATCCGTTGAGTTCTGTGGCCAAGCACCAATATTACATAACAATTTCTTTTTCATGCACTTCAAGAAGAACTGATTTTCCATGGTGTGGGCAGCTTACAGGTGACAACAGCCCACACAACTGTAAAACCACTCTACTTTCGTGAGATCAGCACCAACCTTCAACATCTTTACTCATGTCTCTCGATCAACGTTTCACCTTACCTTTCACTTTACCTCAGTCGGCCAATACAAAGAATCTGAGAAATTCAGCCTTCGGGTTTCTAGAAATTTGATGGTTAGTTCTAATGGTTTATCAGGTGTAGATATAACATTAAGTTGTAAGGTAGATTGGCTAGTACTTTAGGTATTTAAGGACAGTGATCACGCATTACTCGTCAGCTTAACTGGAATATTAGTTAGAGTAAGGGAACCACATTTAATCACCACTGTCTAGCCACAATCACTGATTGTCTCAGTATAGCTTTATATGATGTTGCCTGCATTATTCAGCCGCTAATATATTCTCTCAGAGTTTCAAGAATTCGTTT